TTCATAATGCCGAGAGCCAGTCCACTTTGTTATCTTTTTTTCTGAACTGTGCCAGGGGAGTCTACGTGGGTGTGCATGAGTGGATGAATGATAACTGTTACCCCATCCCAGTGCTGTCTCCTTGTTTCCTTTCTTCTTTCCACATTTATTTCTAACGATTGCAGTAGCTTTTAGCGAGGGTTTTATTAATAGGAAAAGCACTGGGCCTTTCAACGTCTTAAGCACTCTTTTCTTTCATCTCCTAAGACTTTGAGTACAAATTCTTTTCTGAAGTTTGAATGAAAAGGGTGAGTTTCACTTTCTGTCTTTTAGGCTGATGGTTTTACATTTTTTGAATTATGCAACCCAATTAGTAAAACACATTCTATCAACTAGGCCCATTGTATGGGTTTCTGTACATTCTACATATGTAGTAATATTAGTAACAAACGATATTATGTTACAAAGCAAACACTTTTGTGTGTGTGTGTGTGTGTGTGTGTGTGTGTGCCAGTTTTGTGCCCAGTGTGATATTCAAGGCACTGGGTTCAGGACTTGAACTGTAGTCAATCATGTGAGAATCCAGCCACTTTAATCACCATGCCACCTGCTGGCCCCACAAATTCTAATTTTTAAATGATAAGATAAAAAGAACTATCAAGAACTAGTTTTGATATTATCCGAGACTTGAACCACAGAGTCAACTATATGGGATCCAGCTGCCTTAATCTCTGTCCCACCCTGCTAGCCATTGCATTTCTTTTAATAGGAAGAAAAGCAACATGTTTAAGAACCCTACAAATAATTTAACTTCAGTCCCTAATTTGACAGATGTGGAAAATGAAGCCCAAGAGAAATAGGCTGTTGGATTTTAAACCTGGCTTATTTATTGCTCCAAGCTTACCTTTCAAACTCCATTGACTGTGTTGGCTTCTTCCCCATAGAATACCAAAAGAAAAATCTGAAGCTTAGGCTCTCTCTCCTAGACCAGCATCTCTTCAATAAGAAGTTTTTGGCTGCAGTATCTCTTCAATATCATTATACGAGAATATTTCACAAATTCATAGAAAAATGGAGTTAAGAGTATGAGTGCTGGACCTGGCAGTTTGAAAATCATTCCAGGCATGTATGCGTGCATGCCCAAAATCCCAACGATAATGGACAAGGAATTTTGGTATGGCCATCCCCCCAGGGGGTGATTTCTCACTTTCCCCCACTGTCTCTCTCTTTCCCCATCAGGCGAGCACATGTACCCTACAAGCAAAAACGTTTAGAAAAAAAGCAAGTTTGTTGTGGTGCAAAAATCTTTTGAAATCTGTGTGCAATTTTTTTTTTTTTTTTTTTGCTATAGGGTGCATGCGCTCGCCAGACAGAGAGAGAGATAGAAAGCGAGAAATCACCCCCAGGGGGGATGGCCACGCAGCAATCCCTTCTCCATTCTCCTCTCGGGATCTTGGGCACACATGCGCCCGGTGTGAGTTTAAGCCACCGGGTCGGGGACGCAAACCGCGATTGACTACATGGGAGTCCAGCAACAGAGCCATTACGCTAACTGCTGGTCCCTCCCGTGTGTGATTTTTTTACAGTACACATTTTCCATCTAGTTACCACTACTAAGCCTCAGTGAGGACACGCCCTGTTCCAAAGGTCCTTGCTAGAGAAGATCCAGTGAAGTGACACTAGAGGAAAGTCTCTCTCGCCTTCCCAGAACTGAACATTCCTACAAAAACAGCTGATTCCTTCTCTGGTGCAAGATCAGTCCACATAGAAAAGTAAAAAGCTGAAGCCAGCAGGTGGCATGGTGGTTATGATGCCGGACTCCCATGTGAACGACTGTGATTCGAGTCCCAGACACAGCAGCTTGAAACTCACACTGGATACATGTGTCTGTGTGCTCAAAATCCTAAGAGAACAGTGAAGAAGGAATTGCAGCATGGCCATCCCCCCAGGGGGTGATTTTCTCGCTTTCTCTCTCTCTCTCACTCTTTCTGGTGAGCACACAATTCCTACAGCAGAAAAATATCTCAGGGCGGGGGGCGCTGGGCGGAATGAAAAGCAACTGGAAACTGTCCACGTGGTATCACTTTTAGGAAAAGCAGGGTTTTGTATCACACCAATGAGAAGATGAGCTAGAGAATATAGTGTGGGCGGTTCCAGATGGCAAAGAGGCAAAAGGAAAAAAACACCAGGCTGCAATGGGTGTCTTATTGTACTTCAGTTTCAAAGTGAAACTGGAGATAATTTAGTTCTGTGATCACAGGACTCTCTAATGGCAGATTAGTAACTGCTAATTATAAAACTGGAAACATTAATAACAATGTTGCAAATCACTTTTGTAAAGCACATGGAGGGTTGCATAATACTGTAATTGTAAAGTTCCTACTTCTTTGATTTCTGAAGCCGCTGACAGGCTTACTGGGGACAGGAACCTAGGGAGTGCAGCCGATGCCTTTCTCAGCTCAAGGCGTTGGCTCAGCACCGCGGCGAGGATGAAGCTGATTAAGTTGCATACCATGTTCTCACTTAGTAGGGGATTATGATTTCTCTAAACACTGAGTGTAGTAAGGGCTAGGGGATAGACATAGGAGGGGAAAGTTCTCCTGGGAAGAGAGCATTTGGACTGAGCCCTGACGTGGATAGACATGTGAGAATAAAAAGGGTCTACTATGTTTAAGATACTGTGTGCCTGAATGTGTGCAGTGGTTAAAGGGGAAGCTCAAAAAATGACTTAAAAGCTTTCTCCCAGATGCCAGAATCATCAAAATCAGTTTTCAAATGAAGGCACAGTGTTCACTGAAAGCTTCAATGCAATTCAGCCACAAAATGGAGCTTAGCCGTAGTTTCTGGAAGTACTTGAATACCAGCTAGGAAAATATGGCAGTGAAATTGACGAGTAACTAATAAACTCATCTCTCAATGTCTGAACTGTTTCTCATCCCTGTGTTGGAGAGATGGTGACTTCTAAGAGACGGGACAAAAAGGTAGTTCAATGTTCTGGGAACACTTTCATCTCATCCCATCTTTTTACTTTTTTTTTTTTTTCTTGAGAGAGAGATTTTTGGTATAGGGCATATGTGTTCATCAGACACAGACAGACAGAAAGTGAGAATTCACCCCCCACACACCAAGGTGGGAGAGGGATGGCCACGTCACAATCCCTTCTGCTCCATTTCTCCTCTCAGGATTTTAGGCACAGGTGCACATGTACCTGGTGTGAGTTTCAAGCCACTGGGTCTGGGACTCGAACCACAGCCAGCCATGTGTGAGTCCAATGCCTTAATACTACCCCACCTGCCAGCCCCTATTTCATCCAGTCTTTACTTGCTTGGGAAGTTTGGAGTAGCACAAAGGACCATGGCTACATGATTGCAAAACACCTTGTCACTCAGCTGTGGGACTATACGGGACATTCTGGCTTCCTGAGTGCAGAGGCCTCATGTGTGAAACAGATATTACATCAAGAGGGTCAAATTAACCTGAAAGTAATCTATCTGTAACCTGTAAATCAGGATTTCCCACAGATGCCTTACTGCAGTTGATCCTTTCGAACTTTGCCCCAAATATTTTGAGGTTTAAGTAGGATATTCTTTCAGGCTGAAGAACAACAGAACCACCTTTCGTGAGATCAGTGCATTGGGTTCCCTAAAAATGAATGAGCCCATGCACTTTGAAAGTAGCATGAGCTACATATTTTAATTTCATGCAGTGTAAATGAAACCATGAGTAAAAAGAAAAACTCAAGAAAAGCAGTTTTAACTTTAATAAATCAAAGAAATGCTAAGGAACTTTGCTTAAAACTTAAAGCCAGGAAAGAGGTTAGGATTCTGTTCAAATAGTAGGTACACAAACCTATCAACAGCTTAAGACAGGACAAAAATCCTTAAAATTTGGAAAACAAACCCTAGAAGAAAGTCAGCAATGTTTTAGTCAAAAGTCATAAAATGCTATTTCACCAGTTCAGTCTCATGTACTTAATTTATCTTCTGTTGCAGTTCAATCTTCCTGATTAAATTCTGGTATATAATATTCAACTCCAGACTTGTCCCTATGATTAAGTTGGCCATTTTCTTAGTGTTTTTAGAGGTTTTTGTTATAGGGCGTGTGTACTCACCAGAAAGACAGACAGAGACAGAGAGATAGAAAGTGAGAAACCCCCCCCCCCGGGGGGGGATGCCCACACCGCAATCCCTTCTCCATTCCCCTCTCGGGATCTTGGGCACGCACGCACATGTGCCCAGCATGAGTGTAAGTCACCGGGTCCAGGACTTGAACTGTGGTCGACTACATGGGAGTTAGCAACATAGCCATTATGCTAACTGCTGGTCCCCATTTTCTTAGTTTTTGAACTCTTATTTCTTTGTGTCTATATCCTATATTTAATTTTCCTCGTTTAGCACTCCCTTGAAAACTTCTTGGAGATCTGGTCTCATGCTCGTAAATTCTTTCAGGTTTTGTATGGGTAAAATGTGTGTGTGTGTGTGTGTGTGTATATATCTCTATATATCTATATGAAACTAGAAATGGAAAATTATTGATGATAACATGCATGATTAAGCCACTATGCAGTATATTCTGGATGGGAAATCACATTTTGTATGCTTTGACAATGCATAGGGAATGAATGTAAATTAATTTTTAAAAGTTTCAGAAGATAAATTAACTCATTAATTTAAAAAAAAAAACCTCAATAATAGGAATTGAGTTTTGCCACTAACTCTGAGACTAATCCCTGCACCTCAGTTTTCTCATCTTTGAAGGAGATAGAATCATACTGTACTACTTCAGGTATTAATGAAAACAATATAGTATATATGGATATATGGGAATTTATTTATTTATTTATTTATTTATTTTTTGAGAGGTTTTTGCTATAGGGCGCATGTGCTTGCCAGACAGACAGACAGAGAGACAGAAAGTGAGAAATCACCTCCCAGGGGGGATGGCCACACCACAATCCCTTCTCCTCCATTCTCCTATTGGGATCTTGAGCACTCACCCACACGTGCCCGTGTGAGTTTTAAGCCACCAGGTCTGGGACGTGAACCACAGTTGACTACGTGGGAGTCCAGCAACATAGCCATTACGCTAACTGCTGGTCCCAGTAAATGGATATTTCTTGAGCTTGTGGGTTGAAAATGCAAACAAGGATATTATAAGGCACATTCCTTGTCATTATTTTCCTTAGGCTTATTTCTTTTCTTTTTTTCTTTAAAGTTTATTCATTTCTATTCCACCTATTCCACCACCACCACGACCACCACCACCACCACCTGCACCTGCCTGATCACAGGCATATACCCAGTGTGTTCAGGGAAGTTTTTGTATAAGAACCTGGAACCCCCACCATGTGGGTCAGCCTCACAGTGTTGCCTTACTACTACCCCCACTGTCTGGCCCCCTGAGTGTATTTCTTTAGTGAACTCAGGCTGGGCAAGGCTGGATTAGGGGATGTCAGGGCTACATAATTAAAAGAACCTGGGTTCCTGAATAACTGTGGAGAAATCCTTACGTAATAAATTTAAAAATGAGTCATGATGAATTATTTACTTTTTTAGTTTGCTATAGGGCTCATGTGCTCACCGGAAACATAGAGGGAAAGTGAGAAATCACCCTTAGGAGGCACGGCCATGCCACAATCCTCTCTTCCTTCATTCTCTCAGGATTTGGGGTACATGTGCATGCATGGTGTATTTTTCAAGCTACTGTGTTGAGACTCAAACTGCAGAATCAGCCCTGTGGGATCCAGCACCTTAAACTCTGCACCACCTGCCAGTCCTAGTCATGATGAATCTTGAGATCTATTTGTTACAGCAGCTAACATTATCCTAACTGATGGCTAACCCTACACTGACTTTCTTTTTTAATAATCGTTTACTTTTATTTATTCATTCATTTATTTTAATTTGACCAGAGAGAGACAGAGAGAAAGAGAATGTGAGAAAGCAAGCCACCAGGTCCAGGACTCGAACCGTGGTTAGCCATGTGCAAGTGTCCAGCGTCTTAACCACCACGCCACCTGCTGGTCCCTGACACTGACTTTTTTAACATAAATTTGTTGTTATACTCTGCTTTCAGTGATTAGAAAGAAGGCACACAAACTGAATACCACCTTTTTGTTTTTCTCCAGAAAATATAAATGGTTTATATGTTTCTGATATGAAGATTTTATAATCAATCACACAAAGTTCAACACTTTTACATTTTAATGAGAAAGTAAATAATCTATTTGAAAATTACAAATTCCATTACAATTTGAAGGGGAAAAATATGTATTTATACATAAACAAAAATTCAACTCTGAAGCCCTAGTATCTCAAAAGCATTCACCTACTTCCACACAAACTTCATATTATTCAGCAACATTACTACTGATTTACAAGTGGAAAGTGAGCATATTTTTCAACTGTAATGATTTGCCTTTCGCCTGTACAACTCACTGAGGTTGGTTTCATTCTTAGTATCCTGGGTCTACCAGGGACATATCCAAAGCAAACTTGGCTAGATATTTAAGGAAGCCCCAGCTAAGAATTTCGCTACCTACTTTCCTCATCTATGAAGAAGCAGTCCCCACCCTCATGATTCTGAACAGCGTGTTGATGTTGTTGCTTCGAATTGCATCTCGACAAGCACTGATCACCTGGTTCTTTGGTTTTCCAACTGTATGAAAAGAAACATAGAGTTTGGTATGAACCAAGAGATTACTGAAAGTGAAATCAGAAATTGGAGGCCAGTTTTAACACAACATTGAAACCAAGTTAGAAAAGAGTTGTATTTACAAGTTTATCTTGTCTCTCTCTAAAACAGAGCAGTTAGTGAGGGAATGTATTGCTAAACAAACTTAGAGACCATCTCAAACATAGGGACCAAAGGTTGGTTTTACAAAAGATCAAAGTTCATAACTACCTAGCCAAGATTTATTTTTATTTTTTTAGAGAGAGATTTTTGGCTATAAGGCATATGCACTCATCGGAGAGACAGAGAAAGACGGAAAGCAAGAAATGACACCACCACCACCCCCGAGAGGATAGCCACACCGCAATCCCTTTTCCTCCAGTCACCTCTCAGGATTCTGGGCATGCACGCACATGTGCCCAGCATGAGTTTTAAGCCACCAGGTCCAGGACTAGAACCACTTCGACTATGTGGGAGTCCAGCAAAGTGATCATTAGGCTATCTGCTGGTCCAGCCAAGATTTATTTCTAAAGAGGTCAAAGCATAGATCCAAAGCAGCAGAATACAGGTGTATATCTCCGACCATATTTCTGCTTCCTTTGGTTTATCCTATTGTTCTTCTAAATTTTTTTAAAGGATTTTTCCCAGAGAGAGGTAAGAGAGAGACAGTGAGAGGGCAAATGAGAACTTACCCCCCAGGGGGGACTGCCATGCCACAATCCTTCTCCATTCTCCTGGGATTTGGGGCATGCACATCCACACATGCCCAACATGATTTTCAAGCCACCAGGTCTAGGACTTGAATCGTGGTCAGCCATGTAGGAGTCCAGTGCCTTAACCACTACGCCACCTGCTGACTCTCATTCTGCTCAGCTTTTAAGCTAGAACCTTAACTCATTCACTTCTAGTCTGCTCATCTGAGGCGCTTTTAAGGCTATACTTCTCTTTTGGGAAGAGAAGGCTATGATTTTGTGTGTGTGTGTGTGTGTTTGGTTTTTTTTTGAGAATACAGCAAGATCTAAGAAAAAAAGTTGAAGGTTTTCTTCCTCTTTGAAGTCTGGAGGCTGATTAAAGCCAAACAATAAGCTGACTGACTGAAACTCAAGTGACTGGTGCCACCTTTGGAATGTTAAAAGTACGCTTTCAACTCCAATATGAATTATTGAACGCTACCAGCATCTTCCATGTTTTTACCCCCAAATTACAACAGTGTGAAAGGGGACTTACCACGCAGACGACCTGCTCTTTGAATGGCTTGATTTACCGCTTTGAGATTTCCCAGTAGCTCTGTGTGATTATTACAGCGAATTTTATATTCATTTAGCAGGTCTTTATTAAGGTCATATAGTTCCATGTAGCGATTCTTCATTGTTTTCCTGTGTAAATTAGAAGACACCATCTTTAGCTTCATTAAAACAAGGTAACTGCTAATGTCTGCTTTGAAAACACTGACGTTTGGGTCAAAATGTTCTTTTTCTTCCAAATGAATGGAAAATGAGGGACCTTCCTTGGTTACTGCTCCACGGGTTGTTTTGATTTAGGAACTTATGAACTGTTGGGCCCACTGTACCGTGGAGCAGGGGGAAGGACAAGATGATAGGCCATCGTCCAAGTGCAGATGAATAGTTACACAGAAGTAACCTTTAACACAGTACCTTTACACAACAGCTCCTTATTTTACAAGGTTTTAAAAGCAAAGGCATACGTTAAAATATTACTCATTTTGAGATATTACTACACAGCAATGAAAATGACTAAAACGTTTTTAAAAAACTGAAAGTAACAACTAAAACTCCTCTTAGACATTGCTATAGGAATATAAAATGTACTTCTACTGTGGGAAATGATTTGGCTCTTGCTTATGAAGTTAAATATACACTTATTATACAACCCAACAAGCCCCTTATAAGGTATTTATTTACCCAAGAGAAATGGAAACATCTACATAAAACATCTATATGCAGACGTTTGTACCAGCTTTATTTATTCTCACCGAGGTTTGGAGACAACCCAGATGTCCATCAGTTTCAGGATAAACGAATTATTGTATATCAATACAATGGAATATTCAGCAATAAAAAGAAGGAACAAACTACTGATAAACACGACACCATGGACAACTCTTAAAGGCTTAGTGCTAAGCAAAAGAAGACGGACTTCCTGTCTATTGTCTGATTCCATTTATAAGATATTTTAGAAAAAGTAAGAGATAATGGGACCAGCACTTAGCGTAATGGCTATGTCACTGGACTCCCATGTAGTCAACCGCGGTTCGAGTCCCTGACCTGGTGGCTTAAACTCACGCCGGGTGCATGTACATGCGTGCCCAAGATCCCAAGAGGAGAAAAGAAGAGAAGGGATTGTGGCGTGGCTATCCCCCCGGGAGGTGATTTCTCACTTTCTGTCTCAATGTCTCTCTCTGACGAGTGTATGTGCCCTATAACAAAAACCTCTCCAAAAAAAAAAGTAAGAGACAACAGGGAGAGAAACAAGATCAGAGTGGCTGGGGCTGGAGTCTGGGTGACACAATGATACAATGAGGCACAATGAGATAGTCTATATTGTGATTGTGGCAGGAGCAACATGATTGTACAAGCTTCTCAAAATTTATTGAACTATAAGCCTAGGAAAAGGTCAATTTTATGCACATGTAAGTTATCAACTAACTTGACTTTAAAAAATAAAACCAAATATATACATTTTTTTTGAAGGTTTTTTTTTTTTTTTGGAGAGGTTTTTGCTATAGGGCGCGTGCGCTCGCCAGACAGAGACATAGAGACAGAAAGCGAGAAATCACCCCCCAGGGGGGATGGTCATGCCGCAATCCCTTCTCCATTCTCCTCTCAGGATCTTGGGCACACACGCACACGTGCCCGGCGTGAGTTTTAAGCCACCGGGTCTGGGACTCAAACCGCGGTCCACTACGTGGGAGTCCAGCGGCATAGCCATTACACTAACTGCTGGTCCCAAAACCAAATATATACATCTTAGCACCTCTGAAACATATATGAAAATAATTCAGGAAAGAAAGAATTTAGAGGTTGGTAATCATTTTCCCCTTTTAGGAATTTGATGTGTTTCCACAGTCAAAGGCCGAAAGCCAACATCTTTGTGACTTAAAGTTAGAAAAAATAAACTATAGGTCATAGAGACAGCTGCCAGAAAGAGTAAATATTCATAACTGATAACAGTATACATCTTGAAAACGGTAAGATAATTTAGTAAAGTAACATATAAAATCAACATTAAAATTAATGGTGTTCAGGGCCATCTGGTGGCTTGGTGGTGAAAGTGGCTAGATCCCACAGAGCCAACAGCGCAGTTAAGAGTCTCAGACCTGGAGACTTGAGAAATACGCTGAGAGTATGTGCCTGCATGCCCAAAATCCTGAGAGAATGGAGGAAAAGGGATTGCAGTGTGGCCATCCCCCCTGGGGAGTGCTTTCTTGCTTCCTTTCTCTCTCTCTTGCTGGCGAGCACACATGCCTTGTAGCAAATTAAAAAAAAAAAAAAATTAATGTTCAGGCTGGCCCGGTAGCCTAATGTTTAAGGGAGGCAGAGCCCACATGGGCAACCATCATTAGAAGCCCAGCTCCAGAGACTGAGGGGGAGGGGCGGTGAAGACAGGTGCATGTGCGTGCAGGCCCCAAATCCCAACAGGATGGAGAGATGAAGGAAGAGGGACTGCGGTGTGACCACACTCCAATGGGGGATGCTTTCTCCCTTTCTCTTTGTCTCTCTTTGTCTGTCTCTCTCTGATGAGCATTCATGCTCTGGCAATTAAAAAATAAAACTTTAAAATAAAACAGTCAATTGTGTTCATATTGCAAACAAAACCATAATTATAGGAGATATTTGGAAGATATTTTACAATTAAAAAAAAATAGGAAATACTCAGGCTTAAATTTAATAAGAAAGGTTTCATAACTACATGACGCATATGCACACATGCCCAGAGTGTTTTTCAAGCTTCCAGGGCTAGCATTTGAACCACAGTCACCCAAATGGGAGACTCCCATTAACCACTCCCTTAACTACTAGGCTACAGGGTCAGCTCTGAATTAATTAAATATATTAAATATCAGGATAAACTCCAACTAGAACAGAGACTTAAGTGTAAAAACATACTCTAAAACCTGGTAGTAAAGAAAATTTTTCTAACTATAACTCAAAATGTAGAAGATTAAATAAATGCTTGATCAATTTTACCAAATGAATTTTTAAAAGGCTTTTACATCACAAAACCAAAAGAAAACCAATTTTTAAAAAAATGCTAAGAAAAGGGAAAAGACAAATGATGAACTAAAACAAACAAACAAACAAAACTTGCAGGCTGGCTCCACTCTGCACCAGTTAGGAGCTGCACAGAGGAAACCAGATGCCACATGGCCAACCAGGGTTTAAGTCCCAGCCCTACCAACTTGAAAAACACTCAGCACCGGGAACCAGCAGTTAGCATAATGGCTATGTCGCTGGACTCCCATGTAGTCGACCGTGGTTCGTGTCCCGGACCTGGTGGCTTAAAACATGCCAGGCGCGTGTGCGTGCGTGCCCAAGATCCCGAGAGGAGAATGGAGGAGAAGGGGTTGCGGCGTGACCATCCCCCCTGGGGGGTGATTTCTGTCTCTATGTCTCTCTCTGTCTGTCTGGCGAGCGCACGCGCCCTACAGTGAAAATCTCTAAAAAAAAAAAAAAAAAAAACACTCAGCACCTACAGGCGTGTCCAGGATACTGACAGGTGACAGGATGGGGAACCGAGGAAAAAGGGTTGTAGCATGGCCAGTGCCTACCACCAAGTACTTTCTCTCTCTCTCTCCTGTCCCCTCTCCCTTTTGCAACCTCTCATGTCACTATAGAAAATAGTACAGGAGTTCCTCAAAAATGAAAAATAGAACTACCAGGGACCAGCAGTTAGCGTAATGGCTATGTGGCTGGACTCCCACGTAGTCAACCACGGTTCGAGTCCCGGACCCAGTGGCTTAAGCTCACACCGGGTGCATGTGCGTGCCCAGGATCCCAAGAGGAGAATGGAGGAGAAGGGATTGCGGCGTGGCCATCCTCCCTGGGGGATGATTTTTGGCTTTCTGTCTGTCTCTGTCTTTCTGGCAAGTGCACACGCCCTATATAAAAAAACAAAAAAATAGAATTACTACACAATCCAGCAATTTCATTTCTGGGTATTTATCCACAAGAATAGAAATCAGAATTTTGAAGAGATGTTAAAACTGTGTGTTCATTGAATTATTCACAATAATCGAAAGGTGGGAATTAGCCTAGATGTCTATCAACACACAAATTTTTAAAATATTTGGGGAACCAGCAGTTAGCGTAATGGCTATGTCGCTGGACTCTCACGTAGTCGACCGCGGTTCGTGTCCCGGACCCGGTGGCTTAAAACTCACGCCGGGCGCGTGTGCGTGCGTGCCCAAGATCCCGAGAGGAGAATGGAGGAGAAGGAATTGCGGCGTGACCATCCCCCCTGGGGGGTGATTTCTCGCTTTCTGTCTCTATGTCTCTCTCTGTCTGTCTGGGGAGCGCACGCACCCTACAGTGAAAATCTCTCAAAAAAAAAATTTTAAAAATAAAAAATATTTAATATATACAAACCATGGAATAGTATTCAGCTCTAAAAAAGGAAGGAAGTTCTGCAATTTGTGGTAACCTGAATAAACCTTGAGGATGTTATGTTACGTGAAATAAGCCACTCACAGAAAGACAAATACAATGTGGTTGCACTCTCACCTCTGTGTGCCACTCCACTGCATGAATAAACTGAATTTATCCATTTACTGCTGATGCTCATTTGGACTGTTTCCACATGGGCTTCTTATAAACAATGCCTTTATGAATATTCTTTCACAAATATCCTGGTTTACATATGTGTAAGTTTCCCTAAGCTATAAGCCAGGAACAGAATTGCTAGGTCATAGAATACACATATAAGGTCTTGAAAAAATTTACTGAAAATGTGTGTTATGAAAAAACTATGCACGGATTTCAAAAATGTTTGCACTATTCTTTTTTTCCACAAACTTTTTGAAGTCCCCTTATTTTTCCAGTAGTGCTAATACCAAGTTATTTTGCAAGTTATCATACACATTTACACACTTACTAGTGGCACCTGAGAGTTGCTATTCCACGTGGCATCTGTCCCAGCCACAGTAAATACTCACATGTCCCTCATCAGGCGAGCATCCTCGGCCCGGACCAGCAAACTGCGGATCACATTAGAATTATCAGCCATGTCGGCACTGAGCTTCTGATGCACTGAATGGTATTCATCCACCTGGAGACCGTGGACATTCAGGAATTAAAAAGGCCTCAGAAAATTCCTGAATGCTAGAAATATTGAGAAGACAGTACTTACCTCGTACAGAGGCTCTTTTCTTCCCCCTGTTCACTAATATCCACTTAGCTACCTCCTGGTATTTCACCTCCTCCTCAACTACAATAAGGAGTCTGTGCTGCCCCCACTACCCAGGAGAACACTCTGTGCAAAGCCTTTCTGTGTCCTGGCATCAGGAGCCCTAGCAACACACACAGTCAACGTTTAGGAATTTGTGGTAGGGATTTATACTCAGGGACTAATCATGGTCTTCTTTATTTTATTTTCCTGAAATCCAAACTCCAAATTTAGTTTTGACTAAGTTTTAAACCAGAGACCAAAATAGAGACAAAAGATAAGATTAAGAGCTAGCAAAAGAAAATGTTCTCATGAACATTTTTTTTTTTTTTTAAGTAGCCCCTAGGGCCAGCCCCACAGCCTACAGGTTAAGGGAACTGGATCTCACATGGCTGACAACAGTTCAAATCCAGACTCTAGGACTTGAAAAGCACACTGGGCATGTGTGTATGCACGCCCCACATTCTGACAGAATAGAGAAATGGCGTAAAAAGGGCTGTAGAATGGCCATACCCCATGGCGGGTGCTTTCTCCCTTCTTTTCTCTTTCTGTCTCTCTGTCTCCCTTTGGTGAATGTACATGCCCTACAGCAATTAAAAATAAAATAAAATATCCTCCTCAACTGAACCAAGAAGGTAGGGTGGTTGAAAGGCAATTGCTCACATTTTTTTCAAGTTTATTCCATGAGCAGGACGAAAGACAGCAGCCCCAGCAGGATCCAGATGCTGCCACAATCTACTTCCTGTTATAGCCGGTCCTGGATCATGGGCACATGCATGCCTGGCATACTCAGAAGTCTCTGGGATGTGAACTTGGAACCCTCCCATGTGGGTCAGCCTCACAGTTTCACATTCTACCAAATCTGTTAACTAGTAAACACTCCAATACTATTTCAATATTTTACAAAAATTTTTAAGGACATGATTACCATATACATATTGCTATGGTTTGTACCCTCCCCAAATTCATGTGTTAAGATTTCGTTGAGGGGCTGGCAGGTGGCATGGAGGTTGGGGGACTGGACTCCTACATGACCAACCACAGTTTCAGTCCTAGACCTGGCAGCTTGCTTTCTCGCTTTCCCTCTCTCTCTCTCTCTCATCAAATTAAATAATAATAATAAATAAAATTAAATAAATAATTCCTTTAAAGATAAAATTAGGTTGTGAAGGATTTAAGGAGAAATGTGTTGAAAGGTAGAGCCTTTAGGAATGATTGATCAAGGTGAGGCCTGGGTGACTGACTGCTGTTGAGCTTGTAAAGAGAAGGAATGAGACCAGGCACACACATGGCGACAGATGTGTGCCCCTTTCTCTTATGATGTGATCCCCTCCCTATATGACCTTGGGACCCCATCAACAGGGAAGCTCTCACCAGAACTAGACTTTGGATGGCCAAACCTCTATTTTTTTTGGAGACGTTTTTGCTATAGGGCAAGTGAACTTGCCAGAAAGACAGAGACAGAGAGACAGAAAGTGAGAAATCACCCCCCCCCGGGGGGGGGATGGCCATGCCTCAATCCTTTCTCCTGCATTCTCCTCTTGGGATCTTGGGCACGCACACACACGCGTTCGACCTGAGTTTAAGCCACTGGGTCTGCGACTCGAACCACAGTGGACTACATGGGAGTCCAGGAATATACACCAAATGCTGGTCCCTCAAACCTCTATTTTTATAAATCACCCAATTTCAGGTACTTTGTGTTATCTCCAACAAAATGGACTAGAACAAGCCCTTCATGGTCTCACTAATCTCTTTTTTTTGTTAAGGTTTTTGCCACAGGACATGTGCGCTTGTCAGAGAGGAGTGAGACAGAGAGAAATAGAGGAAAAGTGAGAAATCACTCCCAGGGGGATGGCCATGCCACAATCCTTTCTCCTCCATTCTCCTCCTGGAATATTGGCCATGAAAATCCATTGTGACTCGAACTACAATCAGCCATGTGGGAGTCCAGTGCCTTAGCCACAACACCACCTGCTGGTCCCCTCATTAATATCCTTTTTTAAAAAAATAAATATTATTTTATTTAATTTTATTCATCTTTTTTTTTTAATTTGACCTGAGAGAGACAGAGAGAGAGAGAAGAGAGAAAGGGAAAGTGAGAAAGCAAGCCACCAGGTCTGAGCCTCCAACTGTGGTCGGCCACATGAGAGTCCAGCACCTCAACCACCACACCACCTGCTGATCCTTCAATAATCCCTTTAGAGAAGTGTTTCAAGCTACCACATTTTCTCACAAGTGTATCCACTAAATGTTCTTACCTTAACCAACACCTTTCGTAATTCCTCAAAGTAGACAGGAAAATCCGCTTCTACTTGAAGGTCTTCAATAGAAAAAAATGACGCCATCGACTGGATGATATCCCCAGCCAAGTCGATATCATCAGTATTTACAGTGATCTATCCAGGAAAAATCAGACGAGTTTGGCATCCTCAGCTACTAAACAAACAGCTGAAACAGGACAACTTCCCATATTCGACATAATTGTTGACCGCATGGTGGTATGTTATGGTGAATTAGGATAAGGTTTAGCCCGCAACGAAATTCCAAACCACATTCAGTACTTCCAGCAGCTGACTGCAAGGCCAGCCCTCTAGCCTTGTAAACGAAATAACAAATGCATCAATGAAATGTTTTCGTTCGCTTCTATATTCCCAATTCTTCCCAAATCATAAAGGAAGGAGTGAAGGAAAAGAGGAAGGGAGACGAAAACCCACTGTTCTACATCATACCCCAGTGTCCAAGACGGTAAGACTAATAGCCTGACCAACAGACCGAGCTGGTACGTATACTCTCATGACCTTGACACCAGTGCCAGCCAGCTCTCTTCGCACTGGCTGGTAAACGCCACATGAGAAATCTGTATCCCATGACATTAAACATTACCTCTCCACTGGATCTGATTTTTATATACAGCCGGCCCCCATTCCGTAAGGATGTGAAACACACTTGAAATGGAGCATTCTGAATGTTAGTGTCTTCTGGTAACAGAAAGTTCTGGTTGAGCCATATAACAACCTTAAGAACGAAAAGAACAGAATGTATAGAAATGAAAAAGGCACTTTGATTTGTAAAGTACAGCTACTCTTGAAAGATAGATTCTCCTCCTTTTTCATTTTACTGCTTAGTTAAAAAAGAAGAATTATACTTTACCCCTTACCAAGAAAACACTAATCACGCTCTTTTTTCCCCCTCATATACTTTCCCAAGTAACCTTAATAATTATGTCTGGCCCCATAGCAGGAATATTTTACCGCATTTCTTACTTAGTTGTTCGTATACAGTCATGAATAAACGATTCAGGTATGATGCTAATTCTGGCCCTTCTGGGGGTGTATCCTGAACAATATGGTCTGTTTGAAACTAGTCCGATCTCCTTTTTTTAAAAAAACAATTATTTATTTTATTATTATTATTTCTTAATTTGCTATAGGGCCCATTTACTCAGAGAGAGACAGAGAGAAAGAAAGAGGAAATGAGAAAGAAAGCTGCCAGATCAATTTGAACTGTGTTCAGCCACATGGGAGTTCAGCACCTTAACCAGTATGCCACCTGCTGGCCCCAAACTTTTTTTTTTTAATTGCCAGTGTTTGCCAGGGTATGTGCACTAGCCAGGAAGAAAGAAAAAGAAGAAAACACCCCTAAATGATACAGTCAAGCTGCATTCCTTCTCCTTTTCTCCATTCTGGATTTTAGGCATGTTATGTACATGCACCCAGCATGTTTTTCAAGCTACCAGGTCCAATATTTGAACCACGGTTAACCACGTGGTATCCCACTCCTTAGCCAGCAGACTACAGGGCTGGTCCTATTCCAACCTATTCTGAAAACACTTTTAAATGAAGTCTACATGCATGCCCACTACAGGGAAATAAACATCTGCCAGTAAGTTTTAACATGAATAATAACAGTAATATTTCACAGTGGTTTGCAACACAGGTTCCACATAAGAACCACCTATGAAGTCTTTAGGAAGGGCCCACCTACAGAGTTTCTGCTTCCACAGGCCGGGTAAGAGGCCTGCAAATCTACGTAATTAAAAAGCCTCACCCAGAATTCTGAATCCCAGCCAGTTCTTTAAACTTCAGGAAGTGCCGTCACACCAACCATGTAATCCTCAGGGTCACCCAGTGAGGTAGGCAAGAATATCCTCACCCATAAATTAGAAAACAGGCTCATGCCAGCCAGGTGGCACGGTGGTTAAGGTGGCTAGATCCCACATGGCCAACTGAGTAGTCTGTGTCCCAGACCCATCAGCTTGAAAACCACACTAGATGGGGCCAACATGTGGTGGTTAAGGTGCTAAACTCCCACATGGCCAACTGTAGTTTCAGTCTTGGACCTGGTGGCTTTCTCTCTCTCTGTCACTCTTTGGTGAGGGCACGTGCCCTGTAGCAAATTTTTAAAAATAATACTAATAAATAAAATACTCATAAATAAAAACACTAATAAATAAAATTAAATAAATAATTCTTAAAAAAAAAAATGTGTGTGTGCATATGCGCCCAAAAATCCCAAGAGGAGAGAAGGGGAGAAGGGACTGCAGCATGGTCATCCCCCCTGGGGGGTAATTTCTCACTCTCTTTTTCCAAAGAGTCTACATGCTCTATAGCAAAATAAAAAAAAAGAAAAAAAAAAATGAAAAGACAGCAGAGGCTCAGATCATGGAGAGGAATTCCCCAAGATCACTAAGAATTTAATTAGTAAGGCAGAACTTAAGCAGAAAATGTTCCCAGCTCCAAACTGCATTCTCTCTCCATCTTGATAATAGGTTCCTCTTAAAACACTAGATCAGGAGGCTGGCAGGTGGCGTGGTGGTTAAAGGTGCTGGATTCCCACATGGTTGACTAGGGTTTGAGTCCCGGTCCCGTGTGGCTTGCTTTCTCACTTTCCCTTTCTCTCTCTCTGTCTGTTTCTGTCTGATCAAATTTAAAAATAATAATAACAAGTGGAAATAAATAAATAAAATGAAGTCTTTAAAAAAAAAAAATAAAGAAAGAAACACTAGATCAGGACAACCACGCTGAGACCGTAACAAAAAAAAAAGGGTTATTTAAAAGAATTCCTGTTTAAAAAAAAAAAAAAAAGAATTCCTGTTTGACACGATTGTTCAGATAAATAATGTATTTTTCAAAATGAATAAAGATATTTTATCAGTATCTTTATTACAGGCTATAAGCCAACACCCACCTACATAATTCTTTCACATTGAATTTATGGCTCCCACATAATATATTCGGTAATTTCCTCCTCTCCACAAATACTAACATGTAAAGGATCCTAAAGTGCTAAGTACCGAAAGGAAAAAGCAAGATACTCACCCTCTGTGCCCGTTCAGCAATGACGAAGTTGACATAACTGAGTGGCTCACTGGCGGAGTCTGGGCTGGTCAGTGCATACATGGAGAATCGGGGAAGCTGTCTTGTCAGCTCAAATACGTGAAACTGGGTGCTTTGGCCAGTCAACAAAACGAGAGAATAGTTTTGTATAAAATCTTATTTCAGAATGTAAAGCCCCCAAAATAAAGTCACTACTGATAAAGTCATCAATTGATTTTTTTTAAGAGTTTCACCGAAGGAAAAAGATCCCAAAACATTTGAAGGTTAAAATGCTACAGTAATGGGGTTTGGGATTTAGACATAACATCATTCTACATATACACAAGCACAAAATGCCCTACAGAAAACACAAAAGGCTCTTATATTGCACAATGTGGCCGTTTTCTGGTTATATGTAACCACAATACAAAGGTGCATCCTAACCCCTGTAGTCTAAGTGGTCAAAACTATAAACTGACGCAACATGGATTAAGCATAACTTTTGAACTTTGATGTATTTTAAACAGAAGGTAGCTCCTTCCTTTCTTTCTTTCTTTCTTTATTTCCTTCCTTTCTCCCTCCCTCCCTTCCTTCCTTATAGAAATTTTTGCTATAGGGAGTGTGCACTCGCCAGACAGACAAGGAGAGACAGAGAGAGAGAGAGAGAGAGAGAGAAAGCAAGAAATCACTCCCCAGGGAGGATGGCCATGCCGCAATCCCTTCTCCTCCATTCTCCTCCTGGGATCTTGGGCATGCATGCACACGCACCTGAAATGATTTTCAAGCCACCATGTCTGGGACTCAAACTGTGGTTGACTGTGTGGAAGTCCAGTGATGTAACCACTACACCATCTGCTGGTCTCAGAAAATTACTACCTTAAACATGCATTTGCATGTTCCAAAACTCTTTTTTGGAGAGATCAAATTTGGTAAATAAAAGGTCATGGGCACTCTAGACTGGTGGGCAGAACTATTAAATGGCTTCTTTGGCCCAAAGGATCCATGGCATAAGAGAAATTGACATCTTGCCTTCCCTTAATATATATGGAAAAGAACTGTGACTTGTAAAGGGTCACCTGCTTCTGTAGCCCACAAAGGCTTTTAAGTGCAGATCCACAGGGACGTCTTTGGGAGGTGTAATCGGGATACGGATGGAGTTGGAGAGGTTGTGCATGCTGGGGTGTACCACATGGCTTTCACCTACAAAGATTCCCTCTGCAAAAATCAGTACTGCTCGGATGATAGTATCTGCAGGGAAGAGGGAAAACAGAAGAGGCTACTCCAAGATGGCACGGGCACGTACAAATGCTAGCTGGGCATAATGTCTCACCATTCGAAGTGGAAATGCACAATTCCGCATGAGCAGCTTGAGTCTCGTTCCCCAGACTGACCGAGAGGGCGGTGTGGAGCTTGGTGTTGGCTGGGATTACTCCCCGCTGCCCATCGGTCTCATTCAATGGACTACTCAATTCGGCCTGCAAAACATCCCACCTGCTTCCAACTTGATCACCCGAACAGTGAACTAACGTCCGTTTTAAATAACATAGATATCCAACTTCAAAAGACAGACTTCCCATCATCTTATTATATTGATGTGACTCTAGAATTCAGAGGACTCACCTCGTTAGCGCTCCCTCACACCATCTGGCCCTGTAGGAGAAGACCTTGGCCCTTTCTACAGTTACGATCACTGCACCCCATCCTGTCTCTTTTGTTCTTCCTTAGGTTTTTGCCATAGGGTGAGTGAGCTCACCAGAGGAGGGAAGTGAGAAATCACCCCCTCAAGGTGAATGGCCAAGCAGCAATCCCTTCTCTTTCATTCTTCTCATAGGATTTTGGCATGCGCACATATACGTGCCTGAAGTGATTCTCAGGCCACCAAGTCTGGGACTTGAACTATGGTCAGCCATGTGGGTGTCCAGCACCTTAACCACCATAACACCTGCTGGCCCCTTGCTGTTCTTTTAAAATAACAAAAGGTATTCTCTTGGGACAACAAATTCAAAACAGTAATGTCTGACAGGACAAAGCCAAGCCCCGCAGTCCAGTTCATCCTCTAGCCATTCTGGTGTACACACACATATGCACACGGTGTTCTTAGTTGTCAATTTTCATATTATTTGTTTTTGACAAAGATAAAAGTCTACACATACTGTTCTTTTTTTTTTTTTTTTCCATATAATCACACTGCAGAAACCCCTCTGTATCCATCCAGGATACATACGTCATTCTTCTGTGCTGCTTCATGTTCCATGGCACATAGTGAACGTTTAAGCTGCTTCCAGCTTTTCACTGCTACAAACAGTGCTGTGGTGGGCCATCAGGTGGCGTGGCAGTTAAGGCGCTGGATTCCCATGTGGCCAACTGTGGTGGTTCATAGTACTGGGCATGGCAGCTTGAAAATCACATGGGGCATGTGTTCACGCATACCCAAAACCCCAAGAGGAGAATGAAGAAGGGGTGGTGGTGTGACCATCCCCCCAGGTGCGTGATTTCTCACTTTCTCTCTCTGTCTCTCTCCAGCGAGCACACGTCCCTATGGCAAAAACCAAGGGGGGGGGAGGAAATAGTGCTGCAGTAAACTTTAAGCACTTCTGTAATGATTCTCATAGTTTAGCTGGCTGGAAACAAAATTTCTAGATCAGAGGATATGTGCCCTCTCAATTCTGATACTGGCAAAATGGCTGAAGCAATCTGTGTTTCCACCAGTGGGCAAGAGGGAGCCCACACTCTAGCTGACATAGACCTCCGCTCCCATTCTTCTTCTGCTTTTGCCACCCCTCCTGGTCAATGTCAACATTTCAGACTCACCTCTTCCTCCACCTCCCAACCCCACACCTCCAATATGGCCTACCTTGGTGTTTTCCTCATAGTTACGAAGTTCCAGCAACAGAGTCTGCTTTTTCTGACTCAGCTCTCGGATCAGGTCTTGTTCTATGCTGGTGTCCATGAGGTTCCCCTTCATCTCTGCAGTGCCTGGCAGGTAGCCCCGGACTGGACAGAAGGAAAAACCCTCACCTGACTGAGGAATATCCCAAGCATAATAAGGTCTACTTCTGGATCATCAGTTACCTATTCTTAAAAAACAAGATCCTAAATCTCCCTAGCTTAGGGGAATTTTTTAGAACGAGAAGATCTCAGTACAAATATTTTATAATGGAATTTCCGGTAGTTTGGTCCAATCCAGTTGAAAATCTGGTCTGTCAAGGATTTTCCTTAAAAAAAAAAAAAATCCCAATTTACTTTCTCCATCCACTGAGCAGCAGATTAACTGTATGTGGCCATCCATCCGGTAATCTCCCTCCACCACACCAGCAACTGCAGAAGAAAAGTTGTCTTTAAAGATGACCTCCCCAGTTCGGTCACTTCGCGCATCAACCTAAAAATAAAATAAGAACTTAAGAGTGTTTCTCAAGTTACAGATTTTTCCAGAAAAATAAAAAATACTTAGAAATAAAAATTAGCTTTAAAGGTTATTTAGTTTAGCGTTTTTCAAGAGTACTGCATGAATCCCTGCAATTTTGTAGGAGAGAGTTATGACCACCAGAGTCAAGGGGGGCCATGAGAGCCTCAACCAGCTAGGCTTCCTTGTTCCTAATAAAAGTGGTTTTATACACTGGCCTTCGCACGGTGTTTCATTTGAAGAAATGAGTCTGCTGAGAGGCAGGCCCTACAGCACAGCATATACAGCATTGCACAAAGAGGCCCCAGGCTCTGTCAAACCGTCCAGGTTCAGACTCCAGCACTACTGCACTGTCTTTGGAATCCAGGGCAAGTTTCCAAACTATTCTGCACTTGGCCTTCTCATCTGATTATCAACAAGTAGAACATGGGAAAACAGTAACTAACTGTCTATACCCTAAAGGGCTCTAACAAAGCCTAAAGGACCTACATGTAAAGCACTGAAAAACAGGACAAAACACACAGAGGTACACAATGTTAATTTATATCAAATATAATATAAATGCATATTTATATCTAAAATTTGAAAAATGCAAAATCAGTGCAATACAACCTTTTATAAAACAATCCTGTTGGGCCTGCAGGTGGTGCAGAGGTTAAGGCATCTGGATCCAACATGCTGACAGCATGGTTCAAGTCCCAGACCCAGAGGCTTGAAAAACACACCAGGTGCATGTGCATGTGTGCCTAAAATCACAAAAGGAGAAAGGAGGAGAAGGAACGGCAGCATGGCCATCCCCTCTCGGGGGATGATTTCTCACTTTCCCCCCCTCTCTCTCTTGTTCTTTCTGTTTCTCTTTGGCAAACACATGTAACCTACAGCAAAGAAAAAAAAAAACTGTCAAGAGTTCCTTATTCCACATAGGACTATTAAGATCCCTCAGAGAGGGCCAGCAGGTGGTATGGTGATTAAGGTGCTGGACTCCTACACGGCTGATCACAGTTTGCATCCCAGACCTGTGGCTTGCTGTACCACTTTCCCTCTCTACCTCTCTCTGTCTCTCTTGGGTGAATGCATGTGCTGTATAAAAAATTAAAAAATAATCATAATAAGGGGCCAGCACATGCCATAGTGGTTAAGATGCTGGACTTCCATGTGGACAACCTCCAATTTGAGACCCAGACCTGGAGCCTTGAAATTCACACCAGGTGCGTCTGCATGCACGCCCAGAGTCCTGGAAAAAGAAGAAGGGACTAAAGTATGGCCAACCCCCTGGGAGGTGATTTCTCACAACATAATGTGAGAAAACACCCCCCAAGGGGGAATAGCCATGCCTCAATCCCTTCTCCTCCATTCTCCTCTGGGATTCTGGACACGCATGCACATGTACTCAGTGTGTTTTTCAAGCTGCTGGGCCTGGGACTTGAACCACAAAGTCAGCTATATAGGATCCAGCACCTTAACCACCATGCTACCTGTTGGTCCTAGAGGTAACTTTTAATAATTTCTTTTTTTTGGGGGGAGAGGTTTTTGCTATAGGGTGCGTGCACTTTCCAGAAAGACAGAGACAGAGAGAGAGACAGAAAGCGAGAAATCACCCCCTGGGGGGATGGCCACACTGCAATCCCTTCTCCTCCAGTCTCCTCTTGGGATCTTGGGCACGCATGCTCACACACCCGGTGGGAGTTTAAGCCACTGAGTCCGGGACTCGAACTGTGGTCGACTACATGGGAGTCCAGCAACATAGCCATTATGCCAACTGCTGGTCCCACTTTCAATAATCTATTAAATTAATAGTTTTCTAATTCTTCAATCAGTCATAATCATTTAAATTGCCCCAAAATATGGTCCACTGCTATGGTCTGAATGTTTATGTTTCCAAAAGAACTTATATGTTGAAATCCTAATCCCCAAGGTAATGGTATTAGGAAGTAAAGTCTTTGGGACTCGCTTTCTGTCTCTATGTCTCTCTCTGTCTGTCTGGCGAGCGCACGCGCCCTATAGCGAAAAACCTCTCAAAAAAAAAAAAAGTAAAGAAAAAATCAAAGAAGAAAAGACAAGAATTAGCAGATCCCCTACAAGCAACCCAACACGGACAGACAAGAAAGCTAGGGCATCTGGTATCCATGGAGATCTGGCAGCTACTTAGGTAGTTTCTAACAAGACAATCCTGACTTGCCAAAAGGCTGGAAAAAATTCTGACTTGAAGTTAAAAAAAGAAAGACAGCAAAAGGACTTTATTCTGAAGTTACAGCTGGGAAAATTGTATGTTAATATGAATCTTTCCATTAAGTCTAAGTTTTCAGTAAGTTATGAAGACCTATTAGAAAAGAACTATTCAAACAGTTCATTATTAGATTATTAAAATTTTTTTTCCCTCAGGCCTAGAGTGATTCTCAGCCCTAAAGGAAAGGGTTTAGAAAGGCTCTCCCTGGAGATTTTCCCCCAAAATAAGACTTTTAAGACTGAGAGGCCTCGTAGTCATTCTGTACTACTTGAAACTATTGAGGAGGAAATAAGGTGGAAAGATTTTGCAGCTAAGGAACTCAAGTTTATATTCCAATGTTACTGTTCTATCCAAGTCATACAGACAATATACCTTAATTATTACTTTTAATTATATCAGAACTCTATTTAAACTTACCTTTCCATTGGACCAACCAGTTATCAGTTCATGCACTCCATCAGAATTAAGATCATAAGCATGAATGCTCATGGCATGATTTTTGGACTGGAAAAGAATTCCGATAATTAGTATAAAAGTCTTGCAATAAGTATAAAATCCCTGAATATCAGAGGCTGAATCATATTAACCTTAATTCTCCAGTATCGGGCAATTTTGTCATAAACTCCAACTGTGCCATTGGAAAGGGCATAACCAAATCGACTGCCATACATGGGGCAAAGAGAAGTGACTATCTGCAAAAATAATACATAAAAATACGTCTTTATATCAAGGCTCAATATAACATGAAGTAATGCTTTATAAGACTGCATGCATTGCTGTAACCATGTTAAAATTAGATTTAAATGCACTTCCAGTTCATTAGTATGACTCATATTCCTCTTCTCTATGATACAGTTCATCTAAGAGTTGGGTAATTAGTTTTAAATAAACTCACAGAGTTTGGTGTTTTAGGTCAAACTTCTGTGGCAAATTTCAGAAAATTGTGTAGAAAAACACAATGAATCTGAGGAATTGATGAAATAAGCTAAGAACACAAAATCAAGAATATGTACACCAGACCACACCAACCCTATCAGAGAGACGGATTTTTGGCTACAGGGCGCGTGCACTCGCCAGAGAGACAGAAAGAAACAGAAAGTGAGAAATCACCACTCCAAGGGGATGGCCATGCTGCAATCTCTTCTCCTCCACTCTCCTCTTGGGTTTTTGGGTATACACACACACACGTGCCAGCATGAGTTTCAAGCCACCAAGTCCAGAACTCAAACCGCAATCCCCCATGTGAGAGTCCAGCACCTTAACCAGAATGCCACCTGCTTATCTCAAATCCAAAGGTTTTAATGATTATCTCAGTGTCATTAACGTAAAAGTCCTGCCACCTAAATTCATAAGATTTATAATAATCCACAATTGAATATCTAACTTTTATGTGCATATTTTTCTTTCTGTGACATAATTTATTATTCACAAGAGGTAAAAGAAAGAGATCAGAATCCTTTGAAAAATAAAAACCCAAGCACACGAGTTTGTAAAGTATGTAACAATATACAGAATGTATATCTTACACAGAAATAGTTATAGGATTGTCTGAAGATTTAACATCCTTAAAAGGATGAAATTTCAGTTACTGAACAAAATTCTATGTTAAAGTTAAAATCAAAGCTTAATGATATCTATGATCCTACAAGTCTACTTTCTAATTCTGACTAATATATTAAAAAATAAATTGTATAAGGCAGAGAATAGTTATGTAATTTCCTTTACACCTACAGCTTTTCTACAAAACCACCCACTTCACTTAACTCTGAATACAAAGTGCTATGCAGGATCCCAGAGTTATGTAGCTTAAGGCATTTTTCTGACAATACTCAGTACTGTTCAACTACCAACTGATCTGGCAAAAGAAATTTGAGCCGGGAGCAAAAGCAAATCAAGAGCACAGGAAAATGGCCCCACAAATGAGCAAATTTATAAAGTCCAAAAATTTAGCTCCAGACTCCCTGGGCCCTTATTTTTTTATATTTTATTTTATTTTTTTGAGGTTTTTGCTACAAGGTGCATGCACTCACCAGAAAGACAGAGAAAGACCAAGAGACAGAAAGCGAGAAATCACCCCCCCAGGGGGGATGGCCACAGCGCAATCCCTTCTTCTCCATTCTCCTCTCAGGATCTTGGGCACACATGCACATGCACCAGGATTCAAACCATGGTTGGCTACATGGGAGACCTGGGACAGCCATTACATCAACTGCTGGTCTATCCTGGGCCCTTATATAAAAAAAAAAAAAAAATTTACATAATTTTATCATTATTATTATTATTGATCAGAGAGAGGAAGTGAGAAATCATGGAGAAACCAGGTCCAGGACTCAAACCACAGTCAGCCATGTGGGAGTCTAATGCCTTAACCACCATGCCACTATCCAGCCCTCGCTGGCTCCTTTAGGAGCTTTCTTTGTCTCTAAAACTCTCTTCTGTCTTTCTTCTGTCCCCTGATAATATTCACAAGCCATTGCTCCCTCACCCCCTTCTTATTCTTTAATTCACAATATCCTGAGTCTCTTTCCTGTTTCAGTCTTGCCCAATCCTAGAAAACTTTAGCAGCAAATAAATATCCTAAGACTGTCAAAATTACAAAAGATATAGGTCATCAGTATTTTAACTTCATTTTTAAAAAGAGGCTCAAATTCTTTAAGAACATCCCAAATTCTAGTGCATAAAAAATTCCAATCACAAAGAAACTAGCCAACTTCTCTAACATCTGCTTTTTGAGTTTGCCTATAAAAAAATGTGACTAAGAAATACTTAGCTTACACAAAGAGAAAAAAAGCATGAAAACCTTATTTATTTACTTTGAATGCACATAATGATGGACAGGAAGAAGAGGCACAAAGTACAAATCCTGACCATGCCACTAATAACTGTGACCTAGCACAAACATTGTAGCAAAAAATTTGGGAACCAGCAGTTAGCATAGTGGCTATGTTGCTGGACTCCCACGTAGTCGACCGCGGTTCGTGTCCCGGACTCGGTGGCTTAAAACTCACGCCGGGCGCGTGTGCATGCATGCCCAAGATCCCGAGAGGAGAATGGAGGAGAAGGGATTGCGGCGTGACCATCCCCCCTGGGGGGTGATTTCTCGCTTTCTGTCTCTATGTCTCTGTCTGTCTGTCTGGCAAGCGCACGCGCCCTACAGTGAAAATCTCTCCAAAAAAAAAAAAAATTTAACGACCATTTCCTCCTCTATGGGAATAATACTAATACCTCCCTGATAGGGTTGCTACATGGATTCAAAGAGTTCCTTTATGTAAAACACTTAGAACAATACCTAGCATGCAACAGGTACTATTAGTAGTGGCAGTATTAACATGTATTAATTTGGGCCAGCTGCATGGCCCAGTGGAAATGTGCTGTTCAAGAGAAGCTGGATCCCGCATAGTGGCCATGGTTTGAATCCCCAGCCTGGTCAGCCTAAAACACATGGGCATGCACCCAAGTGCCCAAGAGCTGATGAGCGGAAGGACTGGAGTAAGATCACAGTGTGACCAGACCCCATGCAGGGTGTTCATATCTTTCTCTCTGTCACATGGATATCATGAATAAAAAGGGTTTTTTAAGTTATTAACTCATTAAAAGAAATGCTTTTAAGTAATAAATCATATTCAATCATTTTTTTCTCTAATTAATTTGTCTTTTTGAAATATGTCTTAATACAGAACTTTTAAATGCTTCTCCTGTAACATACGGCTCTGCTCAACCCTCCCCCCAGCCAGTTTTTTATCCTGAAACCATCTGGTTGTGAGAAGATGTCCCAGCCTCTCATTCAAAGGTTGTTTTTTTCATTTGTTTGTTTGTTTTAGTATAGAGTGTATGTGCTTGCCAGAGAGACAGAGAGAAAAAGTAAAAAATCACCCCCCAAAGGATGGCCACACCACAATCCCTTCTCTATATTCCTCTTGAAATATTCTGGGCATGTACACACACGTGCCCAGTGTGAGCTTCAAGCCTCCAGGTCTAGAACTCAAACCACAGTGGGCCATATAAGAGTCCAGCACCTTAACCACCATACCACCTGCTGATCCCTTGAAGTTACATTTGACCATACCAATCTATCTCGCCACAAGTGACCAAAATTCTGAGGTGGCATTTTTTTTTTTTTTTTTTACCTCTGTTTCTGTCATTTCTGCTACAATCTCATCTTCTTTAAAAACTCGGATGTCAAAATCCTCAGATCCAACAAGAAGCTGAAAGGGAGAATATAAAACACATTTAGTTTATTCAGTGAACACAGCAAACCTTCCATAAACGAAACAAAAAACCACACAATACTTTTTGCATGCTGCTACTGCCACCTAAGCATTCCAATCCCCCAATACTCTGATGCTCAGAAAGGTTCCCTCTACTGGGAGGGTCAACAGATCCATTCAGCAAAGAGCAGTGGCCATTACACATTCCGTTCTGCCAGCTGAGCTGCACATCTTGCCAGAGCACATTCTTTCACAAATGCTCCCTGGCTCAGCAACTTCTCTGTCAGTAGATGGAAGCCCTGGTTCAAACACAGGGTTCCAGCATCCATCAACGAGAGAAGGTAAGTTAGTGCACTTCACATTACTGACTACTCAAGAAGCTACTACAGGTAGTCGGGAAAGTCATGACATATTTTTTTATGTTTTTCTAAGCAAAAATGTGTCATTACTTTCTCAAAGACTCAATTTCTAGAGTAACCACTGGAATAATTCCAAAGGCAAAAAAACAACTCCTAAAAACTTCTGATTTCTGGGACCAGCAGGTGGCATGGTGGTTAAGGTGCTGGATGCTCCTACATGGCCGACCACGGTTCGAGTCCCAGACCTGGTGGCTTCCTTTCTCACTTCCCCTGTCTCTCTTTCCTCCTCTGGTCAAAAAATAAATGAGTGAATAAATAAAATTAAATAAATAATTAAAAAAAAACTTTCTGATTTCTCAAAAGGTTGGTCAAGATTGAAAACTACTTACTAATATGGTTTCAAGACCTCAGGACCAATTCATATGACTGAGTATGACTGAGATCCCATCAACTGTTCTACCCTTTTGTCCCTCATGTACCTTTGAGACACCACGGCCTTTATCTTTCTTTTAGACAAACACAAGTGGTTTATTACTCAAAAGAGAGGGGAAGACAAGTGAGGCCAGTTAGCTCATCATGGGCTGGCTTCATGGTACAAAGGTAATGGACTTGCTTGCCAAAAACACATTGGGCACATGCATGGGTGCACAGAACCAATGGGCTAGAGGACTGGAAGAAGCAGATCCCAGCATGGCCAGACCCCATGGGATGTGTTCCTGTCTCTCTGTCTCTCTCATGCTCACATGCATGGACATGTGCTCTACTTTACTTTGATTTTTTTTTTTAATAAAATAGTTAACTCATCATTTAGGCAACACAACATGAAAAGTTAATATTTCCCTCAACATTAATGTCATTTCATTAAAAAAAAAAAAGTACATTCAGCTGAACACACAAGAGAGGTAACGCCTCCCTCTAATACCTCTTTCTTCCCATCACTGTCAAAGTCACACAAGGCCAAAGAATGAACATTGTCTCCAGTAACCTGAAAATAAAACCAAAAATCATTACTATGACACCTTTTTAAAAATGTAATCCAAATATATTAGCTATATGAATAAGTATACCAACTACCAACAGATGCTATTCATATTAGTCATATCTCTTTTTAATGTGCAGAATTACAAAAATTGTTCTCTTTTGTTTTTTATTATTCAGCATAGTCAAAGTTAAAAAAAAAAATTAAAGAACATTTAAAGTGAAAATGCTTAAGAATACCAAACAGGATGTTTTCTTCTTCATACCGTCCAAAAGAGATCATCTCCTTCATGATCAAAACCCTGTAGAGCACAATTTCCTCCAATAATTGCGAGAGGAGAAGGAATGTCTCCTAGCGTCCCCAGCACAATTGCATTTGCCCCATCAGCTACCTAAGAAGAAAAAAGAGGCACACAGTCTCAGAAACAGTGATGTGCAGGTACGCCAGATGTATTTGAACACTCAGATGCCTCTGTCATCATTTGTGAAAAGCCACATGGTCTCCTAAGGGGACAGCCATGGTTGTCCTGAGGCCCGTCACTGTGGCCCCTGCAAGGATGAGTACAAATCCAGGGTAACTCAGAACCGTGGGTCTCATGCTGAACTATTATAGGTAGCTGCTATGATAATCCAGGGCTCTTCAGGACCAGGTTCTAGAGGGCAAATTCTCCAGAGAATCAAGACTCCTCCCTTTATAAACACGGAAACCTTGTCATTCATTTTAACCACTCTGAACAGAAATATTTTTAATACTTATTACCCAGTTCTCTTGTTACTACTCATTTTCATTTTAAAGTTACTAAAAAGTACAATGAATAATAAAACAAATATACACAGTATTTTATAGCATCCAACATCCAGAATTAATCAATATCTAAGACTGGCCCAGCCACAGCGGCACAGGTGGTAGGGTACCACTACGCAATACTGGAGCCACATGGGAGGCCTGGGT